TGAGCCGGTCCGCATCCTGTTGATTATCAAGGGGGTTACTGTGCATTCAGGTATGGAGATGTATTTCACACGTAACTGTGCCACACTGACATCCCTATGCAGACAAATACTTAGGTCTTGCTTAGGCAAACATTTCTTCACCTTACTAGCAGGTACAGGTACTCGTTGACTTTCATATTACTAGCACAGCATGGGTATGGTCTGAGATCTGCAGGGTAAAAGATATTTATGCCAAAGATAGCATTATAATTTTATATCCACACTCAGCATTAGCTACAACTAAAACAACACTTGTGATCAAGCACTCCTAGATTTCTGGTAAGGATAGGAAGCTGTCATTGTCCTGGCCATAAAACTTTGTTCTCTCTCAAAAATCTAGGACTAGATATCTTCTATAGTTTTAATGTGAAAATGTTGAATACCACAAAATCAGTGGCTGGCTCTGCTTACCAGGAGCATTCCAAAGTAATCTTCAGGGCTTTGTACTCACACACTCATTTTTTTTTTTTAATATTTAGTTGTGTGATCTTGCATATGTCATGTAACTTGCACGCTGGTAAACAAGGACTCTGCTAGAAATGATAAAAGTACTTCAAAGCCATTCTTAAATGCACAGACTGGTATTAGCACCCAGAAAGGCTGGAGAACAGCTTGCTACAGATATGTATTTACGACAAATGTTTGTGCCTCTTGGATCACTGAATTCACTTGCTATATAGAAAATATTTAACTGTTAATGTGTTATAGATTTGTCGTTGGCTGTCTGAGCATTGCTTTCAGAAGTTACATTTGTACACATGGAAATAATACCACCTGAAAAGATGTGCTAGAAGATGTGAGAGAGAACACAAAGGAACTAATTAGCCTGAATTTTTGTTTAAACATATTCAACACACCATTCAAAAGCATCTGTGAAACTACTCACCATAGGAAACTGAAAATTTTAACTACAAGCCTAACCTCGAAGTAAAGTATATAGTCTTCAAGGCACTCTTTGAATATCTGTTCACTAATGCCTGGTGCTAACAGCCTTAGTAATAGCTAATCATGTAGTAAGTATATTAGTATACATTACTTGAAGGGTCAACTATTTAGAAATTTGTTCATACAATGTGAATATATATAATGTGTAGCCTCAGCTTGGACTAGAGGAATAGTAAATGCTGTAGAAAGGAGACATTTTATTTCCCAGCTTGGGTTAAGAATACATCCTGTCCCCTGCTGCACCTCCAGTACCAGGGCTCAAATATCCCTCCTAAATAGAAATGAGCAGAGTTAGCTAAACTCTCACAGGAGCCTGTCTCAGGGCATTTTACTGTATTTCAGTGGGATTTACTGACATCTCTCATGTGTTGTTTACTCAAGCTGCAGGAAATCGGCTCCTTTTTTCCTATAAAGGTGTATAGCCAATAGGTACCAATAATAATAATTAAAAAAAAAGCATGAAAACATGACTGGGGTGTAACTGATATTTGCTTAAGTCTGAAGAGGATTTGAACTGAGCTCTAAGACATGAACTATCTCACATGTCACAGTGAGTGTTCATTCAGAAATCAATGGCGTTACCAATATGTCAGTATTAGATACTTAAGTGCTCATTGAAGCAAGGGAGAAAGGATCATCTCAAGAGGAGCTATTTGGAAGAATAGCTTGGTTTCATGACATGACTGGGTGCATTTATGAGAGTGCTACCATATAATTATATATATAAATTTAGCTTACTTGGGAAAGAGACAAGCCCTGTGTGCTCAGTATAGTCTTTAAGTATATCTGGGCTCCAATAAAGAGAGCTAACACAGGAAGCCTGTGGTATTGTATATATAGCTTGTTTTTAAAATATGCATAGCCTATTTAGGATCAGGTGTCTGCATCTCATTGCAGAAGGTCAAATTAGTTATGGAAATAGAGTGGAAAATACCGCTTTTCTTTTCATCGTCTGAGAAGTTATCTTTAGATGGAATATTGTAATATCAATATATAGATATTAACTGATACGTCATTTGGAAATAAGAGATCTCTGAATAACCACTTCCCACAAAGCTTTCGTCCTATCTTCACATCTAATTGTCTTCTGTGAAGTGGTAGCAGATAATGGCATCTCTTAGTCATGGATCCAGATTGGCGAGCTGTATTTCCCAGGCTAAATAAAACCTGAAAGCTATGAGACCACTAGCCTTACAAAGTTGAATTTCATAACTTACTCAATTTCAATTTCAATTTCAACCTTACTCAAGTTAGGTAGGGAAACATAACAGGGTAAGGCCAGAGCAGTCTATAATCCTGATGAGTTTTGATAGTTCTCAATGTACAGCCACAGGAGAGGGGCAGGTGCTATGCTGAGTGGCTACACATTGTCTTTCTTATTTGAGGGAAGAAGGCAATGAGGAAAAAGCAAAGTTAATTTTCCATACGCCTGTAGCTTTTACTATGAATTACAAACCTTTCTCTTCTGAAACTGCAAATTCATTGAATTTGCATTGAATTTGGTCAGGTGAACAAATGCCGCCAAAGCTGAATCTTGAAACAGAATATTTGTTTAGTAGTGATAAAGCAAAAGTTTGTATTTTTTGTAAAACATGATCAAGCCCCATGTAAAGGGCTTTTTACTTTCATAAATGTAAATTCTGGACAAAAGTCAGTGTAATATCCTATTTCTCAGTGCAATATCTCATTTCTTTTCCACCCCAACCATTCTGAGGAGATATATTCAATGCCAACATTTGATGGCAAAATTGTTATCAAAATATGCTAATATAATAATGCTAATAATAAATATCCAGGTATCTTGTTGCTTTAGAGTAAACTTTTCCTCATTACATGGACTAATAGTGCAGTACTTTCCAGCCCGTTTCAGCTTGCTCTTGCAAAAACTTGACTCGTGCCAAGTTCTGGTCTACAGAAAATGAAGCATTTTTGATGTAATACAGAAACTTGAAATCTGTTTCCATTGCTACAGCTACCCAGACATACTAATCAGAAATGGAAAAGCACTTCTATGCTGTTTATTTTGCTTCAATGTTCTTAAAATGGCTAACAAAGAGACAAAGTATGGTAGCTTTTTGATGCTATACACAGACTAACGCCTTCTTTGAGGTGATGTAGGGTTTACTGATAATTTAAAACAGCAAGTTTTTCAAACACCAAAAATAGTCAAAATTTTGTTTGGAGTAGTTATCTGCTGATGCTGCAAGGACCATGGTATCCGTTTTCTATGAAAGGAATAAAACTATATTCAGGAAAATGCATATTCTTTGTAAGAAATAGGTCTGGCTTTCTTTATGGTCAGAGATCTCTTACACTTAACTTTCAAGCTATGGCTTTCATCTTATTTGTACTAATTTAAATTCATGGACATCCAAAGAAAGAGAAGTAGGATCTTAAAAAAGGTGGTAGACTGTATGCAATTTTTTTATTTTTTTTTTTTACCATATGGCTAACGTTCTTTCTTTATGAAGGAATGTGTCATAGTAATGATGGTTGGTGGTTGGACCAGATGATCTTGGAGGTCTTTTCCAACCTTAATGATTCTGTGATTCTATGATAGCAACTAACAGCCTCCAAACCTTCATCTGTTTTCTGTTTTAAATCCTCTGGGCTCTTCAGACCATTTTTGGTTCATTGCAAATGTTCAGACAGGACACGAGACAGTATTCAAATCTTTGTTTTAAGATACAGGGATAAGATCAGATGATCTGTATGCGCTCACTTGGTCTGTTCTTTGAAATGAATAGTCTTTCTGTAACTACTTTTCTCATAGGAACGAGCTTTAGAAATAAATCCTCCAAACTCTCAATAAAAATAATAATAGTAATAAAAAATAGCAATGTCTACACCATTGTTGTCAAGTCTAAGAAAATGTATTTGAACCTCTTAACAATAAAATCAGGGTAAAATACATTATAATCAATTGGAGTGTCTCCAAAAAGAAAATGGAAAATATTCAAGGATTGCAAAATCAGTTTTATACTTCTGGGATATGAGTTGCATAAAATTCAGTAAAGAAACAACCTGTAGCTTGTGGTAGCTAGTCTGGTTACATACTGAAGTGGTGGTAAACAACTGTATTGCTTCCTATAAATAAATATCCAACATTTTTATGGTAGATTTTATTTAAAAATAGAATTGTTACAAGTTGAAGCCATAAAATAAGATGCCTCTATGAGGGATTAAACTTCCATGTATGCGAACTTCAGCCTTACAGGCAAACAGAAGCATAGACAGCATTTGGGACCAGATCATGGGAAATCCGTGAGCTGGTGGGGCCAAGGCTTTGCTTTGCACAGCTGTGTAAAGACTTGCCATAATAGCTGTCCCTAGCAGCAGTCAGGAAACATGAGCAGCGCCTGGGAAGCACAACGCTCAGCAGAGCCAGGCAGCCGTGAGCGCTGCGGCATTGTGTCGTCTCCTGGAGAGAAAGTAACACCGAGAGATGTACACCGAGAGATGTACACCAAGAGATGCTCTTACGGATGGGGCAGATTAAACCTGAGAGAAACCGTCCTGTGAGGCCTGCTAGGATGCGGTGACAGCCACCACCGCATCCCCACGGGCTCTGCAAGGCCACAGCGGGCGCAGAGCCGCCACCTCGGCCTCCAGCATCTGCCTTCAGCCGCTCGCCCTTCCTTTCTTGCCCCATTTTTGAAGGCCCTTTCCCCGAAATGATCCCGTGTGCCCTTCGCCCTCCCTAGCCTTTATTTTCGCCCTGCAACAGGCGAGCAGGCCCCTGCGAGCCACCGCGCCCCTCGCCCGCCTCGTCCCCCCGTCCCCCCCCGCCGGGCAGAGGCCATTTTGCGGCTGCCGAGGGGAGGCAGGGGGGCGGCGGGGATAGCGGGGACGAAGCCCGGGGGCAGGTAAGCACGGCCGGGCTCCGGGGCTCGACGGAGGGACCCCCATCGTCCGGCCGCCCCCCTCGGCGGGGCAGGGCCGGCAGGGAGCGCTGTGCCCCCCCGCAGGCAGCCGGGGCCGCGGAGCCCTTCCCCCGTCTCCTCCCCGCCCGGCCCGGGGGGGACGGGGGCAGCGGCGGCCGGGCGGGGAAAGCAGGAGGGGCAGCGCCCGGCAACATGGAGGGAGGCGCGGAGCGGGCCGGCCTCTGATGCGGCTCTTCCTCCTCCTCCTCCTCCTCCTCCTCCTTCTTCTCCTCCTCCTCCTCCTGCTCGGGGCAGCGGCTCCGGCGGCGCTTCGCTTCCCTCCCGGCGGCGATGAGCAGGTCGGCGGCGCTTCTCCTCTGCCTGCTGGGCTGCAACGTCTGGAAGGCGGTGACCAAAACCTTAGGGGCGCCCGAGGCGGCTCAAGGTCGGTGCGGGGAGGAGGGCGGCGGGACCGGCCCGCTTTGTGCCGCGGCTCCCCGGAGCTGAAGGCTGCATCGTGCCAGCAGCCTTGGGGGGTTGGGGGGGGACCGGGGAGAAATAAGGGGGAATTGGGGGGGGGCGATGGGAGACCCCCTCCCGGGGACAGCCCCGCGGTGCGACCCCCGCGGCTGGGGAGCTTTTGTTAGCGGCAGGGGCTGCCGCCGGCCTCATTGTGCGGCCCCCTCGCTCCTTCCCTCCCTCCCTCCCTCTCTCCTTCCTTCCCTCCCCGCTTCCCGAGCTGTTGCATTGCGTCCATCCCCCCCCGGCAGCCCTCCTGCCGCAGGGCCCGGGGTTGGGGGGCGCCCGGCTCCTGGCCCCAGCTCCTCGCCCCCCTTCTGTGGGGCCGCCGTGCTGCGGGCTCGCCCCCTTCCCCCGGGGCTGGCCGGGCCCCGCAGGGACGTTTTGGGGCCTCATCCCGGCCTTTTGTTCGGTGAGGAGGGCTGGGGCAGCCGGGGAAGGCGATTTGATGGCTTGGCACCCACCAGCACCTCTGGGCTGGGAGCAGGAGCCCCGCTGGGGCAAGAGCCCAGCACCCCGGGGTGCTGTGGGGGTGCCCCTGTGGCAGTCGCTGCCCTCCTGGGCCCAGTTGTGCAGCCCTGCACCTCGCAGGTACCCGTGGGCAGGGTGTGGAGCAGCACCTGCCCCATAACCCGCACCCCGTGTGGATGCCAGGTGGGTAGGAGGCGATGCTCCGTGCCCTGCTGGCTCCCGGCGTGGTGTGACGGGAGAGCTGCTCCTCGCTGCGCCTGGAAAAGGGCCCTGCAGCAGCAGTGCGACCAGGACTGTGTCAGAAAGCAGAAAACCTGGCGACCTGGTGGTCCTGAACGTGCCAGGCCCTGGATGTGCCATGATTAAATGCATCTCCAGCATCGTCAGTTGCCTCGTAGCTTGCGCTGTCAAGTGGCCGTGCACCATCAGGGGTGGAAGAGGTCTTACTCCAGCTCAGCCCCCGTGGCTGTGCTCAGTGGCCTTCTTCCCTCTGCGGTAGGATGGAAGTACATCTTGTAAAGAGGGTGCTTGTGTCCCGTTTCCTATAAGCTTTCCTGTCCTGCCCTTCATTAAGACCCAGTGAGCAATGCTTGCCACAAGAAATGAAGGAATACGTTCAAAGTGATATTTTTTTGACTTTTTTATACTTGTAGTTATGGTATATGCTGTAGGTAGACTCTTGTGCTCATATATTCAAAAGGTGCTGGTATCTCATAGCAAAACCTACCACGCTAGGCGATCTGATGTCAATGTCATATTCAGTCCTTCTTTTAAGGACAGAACATCAGCTGTTACAAAATAAGTACTAAACTATGACTCAAGGGCCATTAAACTCAGGACTGTATTGAGTTTACTGACAGGTGAGATGGGGAGAAAAAGACCTGTGTGCATCCCTTGATGCTAGTACTTGGTATCTGAAGTTCTATTGTAATTTCTGTATCATAGGAGAAATCTGTTGTATGCACGATCAGAATGGTGAGGTATCAGCAAAATTAATGCTTTTCAACTGTCCTGTTGATCTTACCTCCTACTGTAAGCTCAGCTCAGAGTATCTTGGAGAGACTTGTCTCCATAGCTGCTGCATTCCCATCAGAACTGCTAGCTGATGCTTTAAGTAATAGCAGCTATGTCAGTGAGTTGAGAACATTTGGATGTAGATGGTCTAATTTTATCTTCAGTGTAAGAGCAGCTCAGCTTTCATAGGTAGCATTATTTCCCAAATTCTTATTGTGAGCTTTGGATGTCTGCATTGGTAAATGGGTATGTAGAGCTGATCTAGCACTGAAGCATGAGCTGTAATTATTAGTTACCAGCTATTTACCGTGAATCTCTTTTAAAAAAGCTTGTGATGCAAAATTGTTGTTTGTGTACCCATCAGGTGTGAACATCAGGGGGATGGGGATGGGGAAGTGTTTTAGCACCCCGCACATTCCTTGTTTGTGTGCTGAGCACAGCAAGCGCTAAGTGGTTATACAGCTTAAACCAACTGTTTTTTCCCTCCTGCCCTTTAGCACCGTGGTGATAGTTCTAGCTACAGGTGAAGAGAGAGTACCACTGCCAAAGTTTAGGGATGCATGCAGATGACATTCTTTCCTCTGAATGGATGCACCCCCTGTGGCTGGGAAGAGACTAGAGTACCAAGGCATCCGAATGAAGGTGGAGGTGAGAAAACCAGAGGATGCTATTGTGAAGTAATTGCTTCAACTGCAGTATTTAGTACTGGACAGATTACAAGAGACTATGGTAGAATCCTCTCTGTGGTGGGATAGGTTAAATGAGAGATATAGTTAAGATTTTCCATTCCTCTGTTAATGTGAATATGTCTCAGACTTGGAGCTATTTGAACATGGGTTATGTAGCTGGTGTCCTGATTCAGGAACGGAAGATGAGCGAGTCTTTGCATCTAGCATTTCTCTTTCTCACTGCTCTCGGCCTTCTGTTCAGACGATTCCAGCCTGAAATTCTGCTCAGGCAGGCTGGTTACATAATCGGTGAATATGGAAAGTACTGGTAATTAAGCTCCGCATTTAGCACCCTATTTAGAAAATTGGATGACTTTGGCAGGCTGTTACCTTATTTGGCTCATTATGCAGATACAGTGTGGCCTCCGAAGGTCACAGAGGTAACCTGTAAGTGTCAGTAAGTGGAAGAATTTTCTTTCTTTCTTTTTTTTTTTTTTTTTTTTGGTACAGTAGAGTCCAAGCAGATGAGTTACTCATTTTTGTCATTACTGGGACTTAGCACCCCAGCAATGAAGTTGTCAGAATTCCAGGAAAATACTTTAAGGATTGATATGATGTTCTCTCTAATTTCTCTAAGATACTTACAACCTGGCCAGTGTTTCAAACGGGACTAAATTATATTTGATTTTTTTTAAAAATGTTCTATTATTTATTTCAAAACTTAAATTGGTTTGAATGTATGCTGAAATTAATGTATAGGAATTTTAATTTAAAAACAAACAAGCAAACAAAAATACCGATGACCCCTTACGCTGGATTTTGACTGTCAGTAGGTGATTTGGCTGAGTACAGCTGAAATACTCGCTGAGCTCTTTTCACGTGAGCAGCCCCTTTTAAACTTTGGGAGCCTTGGCAAGGTGGGAGTTTAAGAGTTATGTGAGGAGGCGACAGGAACCCGGGCAGAATGCAAGAGAAATCAGTGTAATTTGAGAGGGGTTCAATCTCTTTGTTGGCTTTTAACTTTGCTTTGCAGTGGAAAGCGGTGATGATTCATTCGTGGATGCTAGGGAGGATCTCATAAAAGAACTGCTCCAGTATTACGTTGCTGTGCAGAAGCCCAGGATGGCTTTCAGCTGATGCTGTGGATATAGGTTTTAATTTATGTCTTCCATGGTCTTTATGCTTTGTTAGTTGTTCAAAACTAAGAAGTTTTGAATAATAAAATAACACATTTGAATAATAAATAACATCCAGTTCAAGAACTGTTCTGCTGGTAGACGCGTGTGCTCAGGCTGTCCCAACTTTGTAACCACGGGATAAGATCAGGCAGATTGTTCTTTCCTAGTATGATGGTGAATAAAAGTTCAGCTGTCACAACTTAGTCAGAATCCACAATATCTTCTCCCTCTGGGTGCATGGGCAATAGGGAAATTGATGCTTGAGTGCTGCTTGCCTGCGTGCAACCAGGCATTACATTACTTGGTGCTGTGAAAGCCAATTTCACAACCATTTCAGCTGGACATTTTGCGAAGGTTTCTGCTCTGGATGGTTCAGTAACTGCAGTGAAGAGACCCTCAAGTTCTTGGCTTCTTTTTAAGCCACTTATGCCAAGCTTGCAGTTCTAGCTGTGATGGTAGATAAAGTTAAGATGAAGTAAAACCAGTCATCTCTTTCATCTTGCACGGCTGCACCATCTCTTCTCAAGCCGCTGTAAATTACTGATGTCCTTCAAATGCAAACATTATTTCACTGAGACCACAAATGGACTCACCAGAGTGGAAACTAAACTGCTCTAAAACAGCACAAAAGATGTTTTAGTTTAGGAGGAACAAGTTGTTTGCTTAGTGCTAAATAGTATTGTAAAATCTGAATGAGGGGGATGTATTTGTTGGTTTCATTGGTTATCAGATTAAGAAAAATGCTAAACTTTTCTGTGTTTACCTTAAACTCCTAATGCATGCAGATGGCATGCTGAGAGCTGGGCCAAATGAACAATTGCCTTGGTGAGTGCATGGTGTAAAATTGCAGCCTTTCTGGCGAATGTTTGTGTTCACCTTTTTGGCTTGTATTACTTTGCAGTGAGTGGTTCAGCGTCCAGTACATGCGGTTATGAGCACGCGTGTATGTGCTCGTTAGGGGGTGGCGAGTTCCCACGCTGGCTTCCCTGTGGCCACTTGTCTGCTTGAGCCTTGAGATGGTGTTAATCACGTCTGTTCCCTAATACACAGGGGAAAACAACCTTTTCCCTTCCTCTCTTGTTTTTTTTTCATTGTTTTTGTTTTTAACCTCATACTGACACCTCTGACTGGATGAGACCTGGTTCGTGAAAGTTTTAGGGTCATCTGCTTTCTGTGCCGACTGCTGGCCGAGTGAAGGGTTTCAGATAGCAGTCCCCTCTCTACAGGAGAGGTTTCTCGGAGCAATGAAATCCAGTTTTACCATATGCCCGGTACCTAACAGAAGGCTTGGTGTATGTGTGTGGGGATGGAGGGAGGGTTGTGCCTTCAGGGTCATTGGAAAACTTGAGAAATCTTCAGTGATTTTGGTGCACTGAGTGGTAGGAATGTCACTGCCTGCTGTCAGTACATACTTCAGATTAGTTCTGTACTCCTGTAAATGAGCAATGATTACCAGCAGTCTTGGTGCATGAAGAACTGAGAGCAAAACTCATGGCAGGGAGACATAATGTGTGATTTGGGAGTTAAGGACCGTTCCCACAAGCTTCTCCTAGTGAATTCGTTTCACAGAATGGTTTGGGTTGGAAGGGACCTTG